ATGAACTCACAGAAAGACAACGGATAATTGTATCTAATATATATATATATATATATATATATATATATATATATATATATATATATATATATATATATATATAATTACAAGTGCTCAACGCTTCGTTAGACATTCAAAACCTCACAAACCTTGCAGATATACAAACAAGCAGGACATTGAGATAAATCAGCAGAACAAAACAATAACTAAATTTTCTCCTTATTAAAATTCTTGTATAGTACATTTTATCCAAACCTGTACAAATGCCTACCTACATCTCGATATTCACATGCATACATATATGTATATATTCAGCCAAATATGTATGTAATAATAAAACACTATTATCATACGACCTCATACGTGAACATTTAAAATGAATGACCTAGAAAGAAGAGAGAAAAGTATTTTATTGCCTAATATATAGTTTTAACACGGGGTTATTATTTCTATTGAAATAATTCACGAATAAACAGAACAATATGTGTATATAAGTTCTAAGCATAATACTTATGAGTTGAACTATTCATTCTTTACTAAAGAATTCTAACTAAAAATGATGCAAATATCGATAACTGTATGTTATTTAAATTATAATAAGTCATGACAATGGTAACTCAATAACCTAGTCGATTACCCAATGGAAATTGGGCCCAAGTCACAGTAAATAATAATTAATTTTAGGATTTACGAATACATAGTTGATGAATTCCAACCTTGTATTCTACTCAAAGTTATCAATAATAACAATGTATGTTGTAACCAGTTATAGGATAAAAATATTTACAGGAATCAGTGTTACTTCCAGGTATTCCTCTGTGAATATACTGTCTGACAAACCAACATTAAAACTTTCGGTTAGCAAACAATACAGATTTGAAAAACTCTCCAATATTTTAATACTACATATCACCTAACATAGTTAACATTCGACAACAAAAACACTATTAGACTGATAGAGTACAATAATTGTTTAATTTGCATATTCAGCTATTGGGATTCATGATTAGCGTAATGAGTGGTTTTTCAAAAATTAAAAATACTTCTCTAGCATCGATTTAACTTCGGTGTGTTGAGGATATTCACAAGATTTTTACATTTAATTTTTAGGATAAGCAAGTTCACTTAATTTTATATGTAATCAATATTGGTCAAGTGGTGAGTAAAAGTAAATCATTGGTTTTTTTATTTATCACAGATCATTCTGTAATATATTATTGCTTGATAAGGATTTTTTTTTTAATGATCTGATGCAGATTTCGACTAATAGTAGTAAATTTAATATTTCAAAAATTCTCAAATATCTTTTATAACTCCTGCAACAACCAGATAAGACATCAATAATCAATAATTTTTATTCTTTATGGTTTATTTATTTGATTCATCGAATCGATCTCGTTCATCTACACATAGATTGGTTGTCTTGTTTAAGTATAATGTAACACAACAAATAATATTTTTGTATGCTTATCAGTGTTTTTAATAATTAGAATTAAGATTAGCCTGTAGTCAATCTGGCATACATGTAATAAAATTCGAAGTTCACTTCATTATCTGAAAGCCTGTCATATATATATATATATATATATATTAAGTTAACTTACTCTAGTTTTAAAAAATCAAGTTAAATTATTTCCTGATTATTTGGACAGAAAAAAAATATGAACATTTCCAGCCATACAATTCACATCATATTTTTGAATTTTTATATATCCAGCATTATATAACTCACAAAGAAGTGTATAGGCCAAACAACGACCGCAAAACGTTACACAGAATTGTTTGCTTTAAATCATAAGATATTAGTTATCAACCAGCTACTAGAGTAAATATATATTTATCTACATATATAAATCCATGATGTTGTTTCATCCATTCCACTTTCTCCCATTGATGTTACGCATAACCTAATATCAAAGTTAATATTATAGCGACTATTGTGCTTTGTTTTCGTATTGTTTTTAGATTATTTGTGTCTTTTCAACTAAATCTGTATAACAAATCAACATAAAAGTTAGTAAGTAGAGCATTGCAAATTGTATGGTACATTTCATAAGTACTAACTATTCAACCTCCTGCTTGCATTATACTAGCACTAAGAAACAACTTGATATATTTAAGGGATACTAACCAATAAGTTATTAAATATGTCTAAATGTAACTTTAAAATTAAAAATTGGCATCAACTCAATAATAATAATAATAATAATAATAATAATAATAATATCAAACTCGATATGTCCGATTTGAACGCCCTAGATCTGAACCCTTTCAGTATTGCAGGTCCTAAATGTCAGTTTTTATTGTATTTGTTGTCACCTAATTATCACTGATTGTCCAAGTCTACTAGAAAAGAAAAAGGTCTTCTTACGACAGTCAAAGAAGAATCAGTTTGACTAATATAGTGTCCAAAATATTAGCTTCAATAATAATTCGAAACCTAACTAGAGCTCGTGAAGAGCAAACTCGAGAAAATAAGGATATCTTCCTACCTGTAGGTGGATGAATAGACTGATATTCACACTACGACAGGTCTTGGAACACAGACACACTGTTGGGGACGTTAGATCCTCAGAACTCGCTTGATAAATGCCTTATATTGGATTTCACGTTTGCGAGCACAGGCTGATCAGTTGACCTCGAGATTTCATTTCTCACCAGGAAAAACCTTGGCTGTGATTGGCTGCTATGTATTTTAGTGTGCTATTTTTGTGACTGTCCCAAGGACGTTTCTATGATGTATAAATAAGCGAGATTTGTGTGCTTGAATACATTGAGAATTGTGCTACCTGTTTGTTTTTAGAATTTGTTTGTAGATTCTCCCCATCTAAATGCAAAATGTTGCTTCAAGATTGGCTTGCATAGGCACCTGAACTAGCACTGCTCGTATATCCTGGGACAATCTAGTAAGCAATGTTGGTGTTTGGAAAAAGGTACTAGGTAAGGATGACAGATCAGGTGATAAAGTAGTGAAACTTCATCAGTTGAGGTGGATGGTACATGTGTTACCTATGCCTAACCACCGACCGCCTCGATGAGCTATATTTTGCGGTTTAGGAGTAGGCTGGCAGAAAAGCAGGAGCGTCCAGACGAAAGCATGACGCAAATCCATGAAGTTACTGACAATTGGACTGGGCCATATTAATAGTTTTAGACTACCTGGTTGGGGTTTGCGATATGTTAATAATCAATGGCTGGAGACCATGAATGACATGACTCAAAACCGTTTACAATGGCGCAGGTGCATCCACTCTTTATGTTCTATCAAATCCTAATCTTCTGAATTTCCCATAACCTTTATCCTTCTCTTTTTAAGTTTATTTTACGGTATTATACTTCCTGAATAATATCATCGAACCATAATCTTCTCCATCATCGTTAATATCTACTACTTCTACGACTATGAGATTTGAATTGACAATTGCGTCTCTGTACTAATGAGGTACGGCAACTCGAACTGATGTACGTGTGTACCGAGTTTTAGGTTGTAGCTGACTGAAAGACTGACTGATTATCACAATATGTTCACATAACTATCTTAGCTCAACAACAAAAGCAACGTCAAGCTTATTTGGCGCAAACAATTTTTCATGTAAAATACATGTGTTTAGACTTAATATATACATTTATCGAGTCCCATATAATCTATATTTTTAGGTATCTAAAATGAAAACCACAATATCTAATTGCGTCAATTATATAAAAAATTTTAAGAGAAAAAAAAGTGTCCTATCTGAATAACTGTAGTAATAAAGTACTCATAATACTAACGACAAACCAGGAAGTACTGAACCGATGTCTCATTCGAGCATGTAACTTTACAGCAATGCTCAAGCACGACCTCACTTGGTATCGAGTCCAGTACCTTCAGGCTTTGTGGTGAGGATTTAATATTGAATACCCCGTTCTTCAGTCCAACTATGCGCTTGTCTAACTTCGACCAATTTGCGATATTACTCGACCGCGTTTTACTCCTTTCGATGGGAAACCGCCACACATCCGATATGGTTGAATTTCACTAGTCACAGTAGTAGTGGCTGATAACTCGCCATTTCAAAGATTGAGATCTAGTTTCGAGACCTGAAATTCTTAGACGTACACCACTGAGAAGTTTCAGAGAAAAAAATTGTTATCTAGTGTACCCTAGTTTTTATTGGTTATCTAACTGAATCAACCAGTGATGTAAAATACAACGATTTCCAATCAACTATTATGAGAGGTGTATGTTCTTGTTTGTGTAATAGACATATTTCTTAAATCGACTAAAAGTATTTCAAATTTCCATGCTGCTAGTGAAGTGCAGACACTTGAAATAAAACAAAAACTGATTATAAATAAATTATTATTAACCACCTAACTGCGTCACGAGACAAGCCCTCACATGGGACCCTCAAGGCAAAAGGAAAAGAGGAAGGCCAAAGAATACATTACGCCGAGAAATAGAGAAAGATATGAGAGGAATGAACAAACATTGGACAGAACTGGAGAGAGAAGCCCAGGACAGAGTTGGTTGGAGAAAACTGGTGGGCGGCCTATGCTCCATTGGGGGTAACAGGCGTAAGTAAGTAAGTAAGTATCATTAACCACTACAAAACATAAATGATTAATACTGGATCTTTAATTATTAGTGAAGCAACAAAACAAGTATCCCATTACAACTATGTAAAAAGTAATTTAAGATTAAGCCTAGATTTATACACTGGACCATCAGCTATATCTGTTACAGATAATCTAATCATACTGATTGGTTTGTTAACGCTAAACCAAACTTACTTGTCCAATGTATATTTTTTAACCTTGTTTTTTTTCATAAATACACTTCATGTAAAAAAAAATTTAGTCAAAACAAGTTTGGATTATGATCACATGAAAGTGAAATTCAAATATCAATCAAATCCTGTAGAACAAAATGTTTAAAGAAACAAACAAAACTTATCATATTAATAAAATCGTTGTCTTTTTGAAATGAAAAAAAAGAATAATATTGACAGATTGCTTACTTTTAATTGTTGAATCAATCTCTGAATGACTCCATGATCCTGCTCTTCGATCGGTTCTCGATCGTCTCATGGTATGCCCACTACAATTACTGCACAAATGGCACAGTAAACGTATCACTTTTATGCAGTTTTTCTATAGAAACCAACTATTATATTTTATTTGAATATCATGGAACGTTGAAATTTTGTTAAACAGTTTTTAAATAATTAAAATGAGTAATGATTTGCAGTTTTTGTAGAAATTTGTTATTTGTTTTGAATGACATACTACCTACCTATAATGAAAATCAAAACATTGAAGTTGAAGTTGTTTGTAAAAACAAGAATTAACTGCATCAAAAAATATGATCAAATTAAGTAGTTTTGTAAAGATCTTAAGCGATTTGAAACCAAGTTTCTTTAAGAATTAACAAAAGTTGGAGAAAACGGCTTAAAAAGTGAAAAGACAATAAATAACCCGTGTTCTGATTTACAGAATTTATAAGCATAACACAAATCACAACCTTAAACGGATACAAACTGATGACTTCTAAGTTTTATAATCAATACAATATTACAAAAGTATTAAACAAGACTCAGCTATAATTTTAGTTTTAGTTAGCTTGCAAAGTTAGCCGTGGATGAGCTATCAAGTCAACTGTGATGATCAAAGAGAAATTTTTCCAATCTAAGAGATAACTCAGTCTGAATAATTATTTAACCCGATAAATAACTATTCAAAATTTGAATATTTTATTAAAAATTCCCAACCAAACATTTAAATGTTTTAAACTTGAATTAACAACTCAGTAATCACTGACGACACATTATTTTGTAAACAAAAAAGAGCATAGACATTCAGTATCGACTTGAAAAATCTAAGGTGTTTCTATTTTTAATTTGTAAACTAAGAATTGGTGATAAAATACATTTTATAGGAAGTTACCGACATTTCTATTAACTATTTACATCAAAAATAAAAACCGAATTCAAACAGATAGACATAATAGGTGTAGGATTGGAAAGAGAATTCAAAATCACGATTATTCATTCGTGACGTGTCGGTCGGGCTGGCCTATCACGATGACTCGGCCGAGCTATACTGCTGGAACACCTATTCCTGTAGGTTCTACCATGCTAGGCAGGTCGATTGGAGAATGGCGAGACTAAAAGCACCAACTCAAGGTCTAAGGGCATAGTCGTACTGCTGACTGTAGAGAGGTGTGACGGCAGTAAGGTGTTCCCCTAGAACAACCAGCATCTGTAGCGATGCTGCCTTCTCACAAGGAATCAAGGTAGGGATTAGGAGAGGTCAACCCTAAAAGTGTCACACCTCAACTTACTTCACGGATTCCCGTCCCGGCAGTAAGGCCTTTTAAACAAGAACGGAGCAAACACTACAAAAAGTACCCATAAAAAGGTCGTGCGTGACCAGCCTCAAGCAGTTGGCCCTTGGGCTCTGAGATCACGCTCACAGTTCTCTAAGACCAACACTAATCTACATTCTTTTTCAGGTCTCTCAAGAAACACCTTCCCACAACGTGGGCAGCCGGGAAGTGACATCCGACCTCATACATCTAACAGCACACGAGACCAAATTGGTCACAATCAAATCCTTCTTACACCCCCTAACACCTCTCTTATATCCACGACTAACCCTTCTCGTATTCCTTTATCACCCTGAACTGCTAACACAAACGTTTTGAGTTCAAAAAAGCCCGCTCTAAACTACATGTTGGAGGTTTTATTGCTCGAAATTTGTGCCAAATAGGCCCCGCTGGTGTAAGTAGAGCATTGAGTAGTAAGGCAGAACTAGCTCTTCTCGACTGGACCCAAGTAGTCACATGTGCGCTGTCCGACTAAACGGGATAGTACGGACTTGAAAAGATAGGGAAACTCTCCGTTACCTCTTTGTTGTCTCTGACTACGCTCCCACTGACTGCAGCTCAGATGAGGCAGAGATGAGTTTTACAAAAAGCTTTCGGAACTCCTTCAAAAACTTAGGCGCTCCGATATATTAATAGTGGCTAGTCACTTCAATGTTCAAGTAGGTAGTCTAAGAATAAACGAAAGACACCTGGGTGGATCTTATGGTGTAGTGGCTCAAAGATCAGAAAGTGGCGACCGTCTGTTGCAGCTATGCTCAGAAAAGCGACTATTCCCAGAAAATACTAAGTTTGAGAACAATGAAAAACATATTTTGACATGACTACTCCTAAAGTCGTCCCAACGTTGGAACCAACTAGATCATATCGCCAACAGCCACCGATGGAGGGATTAGGTAGAAGACTGTCGCTCGTTCTGGGGCACATGTTTAGATTCAGATCATGCCCTAGTGCGAGCTCGTATCTGTTTGAGGCTTACTGGACGTAGGAAAGACACCGTAAGGAAGTCTCATAGGGTTTTACTTAATGATAATAAAGCTAAGAATATATTTCAGGAGCAACTAGAAAAACAGTTAGGTGACCATCCAAGTGATTCCAATCGGGAGGCAGGTTGGAATGATAGTAAAAAGGCTGTGGAGACAGCACTAGTATCTGGTAGTAAGGTAAACCATAAGGCAAGGAAGAAGCCGTGGATCTCAGTAGCATCCACCGAACTGATAGACGCTCGTAAATTCATTCCACCTGGATCTGAACATGACGAAGAGCATAGACAGCTTAGGCGCATGCTGATAAAAAGCTTTTGCAATGATCGCGAACAATGGTGAGTAGCGAAAGCAAAAGCAATGGATAAGGCAGCGGTGATAGGTAACAGCAGAAAATTGTTACGACTTATCAAAGAAACTGGTATTAGAAATTCATCTGTTAGTGAAACTATCTCAGAAAATGATGATCTTAATATGCATTCTCAACCCAGGAGACTGGATCGATGGGCGGAACACTTTAAGGATCAGTTCAACTGGCCTTGAGCCATTCTTCGGTTACCCACGATATCCAGTCAACCTGAATGGCAAGTCGACGTAAGCCCTCCGAACCTTTATGAAGTTGAAAAGGCTATAGGAAATCTGAAGCGAGCGCGAGCAGCAGGACCTGATAGATTGACCCCTGAAATTTTTAAGGATGGTGGTCCAGTTTTAGCAGCTAGGTTGACTGAGATCTTAGGTAGAATCTGGGAACTGGACGTAATCCCATCCGACTGGTCTCAATCACTGATTGTCCCAATCTATAAGAAAGGACAAAAGTCTTCTTGTGACAATCACAGGGGAATAAGTCTAACTAATATAGTTTCCAAATTGTTAGCCTCAATTATCCCTAGACGCCCAACTAGAGATCGTGAAGATCAGACTAGAGAAAACCAGTCTGGTTTCAGACCTGGACGTGGATGTATAGACCACATCTTCACACTAAGACAGGTCCTGGAACACAGGCACACATTTAGGTGTCCTACAATAGTTATCTTCCTGGACCTTAACGCGGCATTTGACTCTGAGGATCGTGAGGTTCTGTGGCAATCTCTGTCATTGAAAGGTGTACCAAAGGAGTACATTAACCTCATACAAGCTCTCTACTCGAACACTACTGGTTGGGTGAGAGCATATGGCGAACTATCATCTGAATTCTCTACATCAAGTGGTGTCCGTCAGGGATGTCCACTCTCTCCATTCTTGTTCAACTTTGTCTTACACATACATTCGGATTTGACATTATCTTCGTCTGACTTTTCAGGGGTAGACCTTCTATCAGGAGATTTACTGTTTGACTTAAAATATGTTGTTGATGACATAGTTCTACTTGATGAAGACGCTGACAAAATGCAGAGTTTTTTGACTATCCTAAGCAACAATGCAAGCATGTTCGGGATGCGATTCTCCCCATCTTAATGCAAAATGTTGCTTCAAGACTGGCTTGCATCGGCACCTGAACTAGTGATAGGGAGTGAATTAGTTGAGCGTGTTGACCGCTTCACTTATCTCGTCATGCTCATCAGTGCTGATGGCACGGATACAGAAGGTTCGACTGGCTTTTGCAAACTTGCGTCAATTATGGCGTAGGGAAGATATCTGTTTGCTTACCAAAGATGGGTTTACTGTGCAACAGTTCGCTCCAACCTACTCCATGGCTGTGAAACAGGGCCTCTATATTTCTCTCTCTAAATTTATCTCACTGAACTATACTTCTTGAAAAATATATTTGAACCGTAATCTTCTCTATTTCTGCTAAAACTTCTACTATCTCTACCACTATGGAATTTGAACTGAAAATTGCGTCTCTGCTCTGATCTAGTATGGCAACACGAATTTATGTACGTACGTACGAAGTCCTACGTTGTAACTAACTGACTCATTCAAAACTAGCACGCTCTACACACGAAAGTAATGAAATGATATCACTAAAATAAAAAAATAAACAAGAAAATGATTTTGAAAACTATTGAATAATTCTGGTTTAATTCACTTTTCAAATACAACCGAAGCAGTAAAGCTTCGTTTTATTGTGCAACACCATAGGTATCAAGAACCCCAAAAAGAAGGTAATAGTAAAAACAATAATAAAAAGGAACTAAAAAACAATAAAATCCAATATAAAAAGGGGAAGAGATCACACAAATAGAAACTAGCGAATGCCAATCAACAGCAACGTAGAACGTACGTAAGAACATCAGTTCAAGTTGCCATACCATATTAGTACATAGATGCAATCGTCACTTCAAATCCCATAGTAGTTAAGGTAGTAAAAGTATTAGCTGTAATCGGAGAGATTATGGTTCGAGGATTCAATAAGTAGAATCTAGTGAAGGAAACTTAAAAAGAAAAAGATAAAGGTTGTAGGGATTAGAATTCCAGATAAGCCAAAGAATGGATGCATCTGAGCCGTTGCAAACAGTTTCGAGCCATGTCATTCATGGTCTCTAACCATCGATTACTAACATTTCGTAGACCCCAACCAGGTAGTCGACACCTACCGGCATGTCTCTGGCCGCCCCTAGCTTTCTCCCAACCCATTTCTACATCGCAAAACATAGCTTGACGAGGCAGTCGGTGGTTAGGCATACGTAACACATGTCCCAACCACCTCAACTGATGAAGTTTCATTACTTCATCTATTGATTTGCCATCCTTACCTGGCCCCCTTTCCCTAATAATAGCAT